CTCGACGGCACTTAACAACAACAACAACAACAACAACAACAACAACAACAACAACAACCCTGTCCTAAAGGGTCACTATGAATCAGAATTGACTCAATGGCAGTGGGTTTGGTTTTTTGTTTGGATGGTGGAGAAGCCAGGCTACTAAAAAGCCTTTGGATTTTGCATTGCAAAGGATTGAGGATGGAAAAAGAAAATTAACGCCCTCGAGCTCCATCTGCCGGTCAGAGGCTTTGCCACGACCTTGATCCTGATTAGCTCTGAAAAGCCCGCGATGTCTTTGGGGAATGTAGTACCTTGTCCCGCGCCTGCGTTTCCTATTGGCTCTGGGACAGTGACAGTAACAGGAAGTACGTCACCAAATTTCTCCTAGCTCCACAAGAGACTGTGAGATGGCGCTGCATGACGGGAATTTTAGTTCTTCCAATGCTGGTTTTCCCCCCAATCAGTTGTAATTGGAACAACAGTTCCCATCATGCATCAAGCTCGCAGGTCGCCGGGGCTGACACGCAGCCTTCTGGAAGATGTAGTCTTGAGCCCTCATCCTTCCTTCTCTGTCATACGGAGCGTATCGACTCAGAGGACTACATTTCCCTGCTCATTCTGCCTCATCAACGGCGCTAGGCCGCGGCCTCCATTTTGTTCCGCCCCAGGAGGCCCTAAGATGGCGGCGGGGGAGACGGTAAAGGTTGCGGTCGGCCCCTTCGGGCTCTAGCCGCCGACTCCTAGTCCCCCAGCGGCAGGCACATGGCCTGGTGGAAGCCCGGACCATGGACCTCCACACTGCTGTGTACAACGCCGCCCGCGACGGCAAGCTGCAGCTTCTTCAGAAGCTCCTGAACGGCCGGAGCCGGGAGGAGCTGGAAGAGCTGACGGGCGAGGTGGCCGATGGGGGAACGCCGCTGCTCATCGCCGCCCGCTACGGCCACCTAGACGTGGTGGAGTACCTGGTGGACCGGTGCGGCGCGAGCGTGGAAGCTGGCGGCTCGGTGGACTTCGATGGCGAGACTATCGAGGGCGCCCCGCCGCTGTGGGCTGCCTCAGCCGCCGGCCACCTCGACGTGGTGCGTAGCCTACTGCGCCGCGGGGCCTCGGTGAACCGCACCACGCGCACCAACTCAACGCCCCTGCGCGCCGCTTGCTTCGACGGGCACCTCGAGGTGGTGCGTTACTTGGTAGGCGAGCACCAGGCCGACCTGGAGGTAGCCAACCGGCATGGCCACACGTGCCTCATGATCTCCTGCTACAAGGGCCACCGGGAGATCGCCCGCTACCTGCTGGAGCAGGGCGCCCAGGTGAACCGGCGCAGTGCCAAGGGCAACACAGCGCTCCACGACTGTGCCGAGTCTGGCAGCCTGGAGATCCTGCAGCTGCTGCTGGGCTGCAACGCCCGCATGGAGCGTGATGGTTATGGCATGACCCCGCTGCTGGCGGCCAGCGTGACGGGCCACACTAACATTGTGGAGTACCTCATCCGGGAGCAGCCTGGCCAACAACAGGCTTCTGGGGCTGGAGATGAAGCCCAGCTGGGCCTGCCCCAGAAAGGCCCCTCCTCCACCAGCCGTGGGTGCCTTCAGCCCCAGGGCGCCCATTGCTCCAACGGCTCCCGAGAGGAACCAGTTAACGGTGAATCCTATGAAAGCTGTTGCCCAACGAGCCGGGAAGCTGCAGTGGAAGCTTTGGAATTGCTGGGAGCCACCTATGTGGATAAGAAACGGGATCTGTTGGGCGCCCTCAAACACTGGAGACGCGCGATGGAGCTGCGTCACCAAGGAGGCGAGTATCTGCCGAAGCCACAGCCCCAGCAGCTGGTCCTGGCCTATGACTATTCCAAGGAGGTGAACACTACTGAGGAGCTGGAGGCACTCATCACTGACCCAGATGAGATGCGCATGCAGGCGCTGTTGATCCGTGAGCGCATCCTGGGTCCCTCTCATCCAGACACTTCCTATTACATCCGCTACCGGGGTGCTGTGTACGCGGACTCTGGCAACTTTGAGCGCTGCATCCGCTTGTGGAAGTACGCCCTGGACATGCAACAGAACAACCTAGAGCCCCTGAGTCCTATGACCGCTAGCAGCTTCCTTTCCTTTGCAGAGCTCTTCTCCTACGTGTTGCAAGACCGAGCTGCCAAGGGGAGCCTTGGCACCCAGATTGGCTTTGCAGACCTCATGGGTGTGCTCAGCAAAGGGGTCCGGGAGGTGGAACGGGCCCTGCAGCTGCTCAAGGAGCCAGGAGACTCAGCACAATTCACGAAGGCCCTGGCCATCATCCTCCACCTGCTCTACCTGCTGGAGAAAGTGGAATGCACTCCTGACCAGGAGCACCTGAAGCACCAGACCGTGTACCGGCTGCTCAAGTGTGCCCCCCGTGGCAAGAATGGCTTCACCCCTCTGCACATGGCTGTGGACAAGGACACCACAAATGTGGGCCGCTACCCGGTAGGCCGATTCCCCTCCCTCCAAGTGGTCAAAGTGCTCTTGGACTGTGGGGCTGACCCTGACAGCAGGGACTTTGACAACAACACACCACTGCACATTGCTGCTCAGAACAACTGCCCAGCCATCATGAATGCCCTCATAGATGCAGGGGCCCACATGGATGCCACCAATGCCTTCAAGAAGACTGCCTATGAGCTGCTGGACGAGAAGCTCCTGTCGAAGAGCACTGTGCAGCCGTTCAATCATGTGACCCTCCAGTGTCTGGCTGCCCGGGCCCTGGACAGAAACAAGATCCCCTATAAGGGCTTCATCCCTGAAGAGCTAGAGGCCTTCATCGAGCTTCACTGACCTGTCCAAGTGGTGGTTCCCTCACCCTGTGAGCACAAAGCTAGGGGAGAGCTGAGCAGGTGTCTGTCCAGCCTTCTGGTGTGTGTTTCAGGCACCACTGGCAGGGAAAGGGTGTTCTGCCTTCACATCCCCTACACCTCTCCAGAGAGGAGAAAAGGACTAGAGCTAGCAAGCTGTTGGTGCTAAAAGCCTTCAGGAGCATGTACCAGAACTTTTCTCCAGGAGCCCACTTATCTATCCATCTTTACTGGGAAAAGATAGACTTTGCACACATCCCCTCTGCTTCGATTCTGGAGGTCTCTGCCTTCCTCCCCAGAGACAGGGGGATAAAAGCCATTGCCTTCCTTCCTACCTTCCCTAGAAACGCAGGAAGAACTTGAGAATCGGTCCATTCTCCTTGCTCCCTTATGCAGCCAGATAAAACTAGCTGCGGAATGCAGGGTTAGGACTGAGGGGTTCCCAAGGGCAAAAAGTTAACAACTCAAGAAGACAGACCCCTCCTATGCCCCAGTTTACCATTTTTCCTGCACTGCTATAGCCTGTGCTCAGGTTGTCACCATGGAGCAGGCCGTGCAGGAAGCCTCTCTGCAGAGGGAACCTGCCCCTTGCCATGCTTGCGGTGAGTTTGATGTTTTGTTTCTCTGACAAGTGGGCAGGTTACAAGTATTGTTGCACAGGATTCTTCAAAGTTCGCTGCCAGCTTTTAAAAATTTTGTTTGTTGGACTTAAGTTCATTTCAAGCAGTGAGAAGTTCCTGAGCTTGAAACAGCCCAGAGCACACACTTTGTGGCATGAGGGAGGCGGCTGTCCACGACAGTATTGGTCCCTAATCCTTGAATGACCATACATTTTTTAAAACTGCACTCTCTGGCCTCTTCCTTGAACCTCCCAACCTGCCATTCTCATTAGAATTATTTTTTCCAAACAAGTGTCAGGCCAAGTGCCAAAGGAGCCAGGCTTGGCAACAGTTTTCCACCCAGCAAGAAAGCACATGGTGGGTTTGGCTGTTCCGTTTTCTGAGTGAAAATAGCACGCCCCTCAGGTTCCCAGACGCACACCCAAATTGACTGGAACATTTGGTTTCGGTTGTGGGCCAGATCCCAGCCCCATGCCCAAGTGGCTGTAGTCCATTTTCAGCTGCCCTGAGCCCTTGAATCCTTGTCTTCCCAAGAAAAAGCCCAAGTACAGCATGAATTCAAGAAGCCAGCTGGCTAAGGTGGTCAGTGTCAGAGCCAAGTCAGCTCCGGCTTGTGCAAAACCTTGGCTTCCTGTCTCTCAGGGTGAGTGCCAGTGCCAGGGAAGCTGCCACAGTGCGGTGCCTCTCAGGAGTGATGCTGTCTGTGCCTCGGCAGGCAGAAGCAGATTCTTGGCTGCTTGGGAGAAGAGCGTACAGCAAATGGCTGCCCCTGCGGCTTAGGCAAGGTCAATTTTGGGAGAGCGGCGCGTCAGCCCCACACCTCTCTGGCGGCCTTGTTGCGGGGTGTCTGGGGCAAGGCTGGCAGAAGCTGCAATGGGGCATTGGCTGCTCTGCCCCTTCAAGGAAACTAGCTCTTGCTGTTTGGGTTTGCGGTGTTAGGTAGGAAATTATATGCAAGACGAGGCTTTCTCTTGTGTCACAGTGGGAACCACAGTTCCTGCCCCTTGCAAGCACAGAATAAAGAAATGAGACGGGTTCACCAATGAGTCTTGGCTCTGATCTTTAAATTGTTACAAGATCAGTGGACAGAATCACCCAGCAGTCCATGGCTGGCGGTAGATTCGGGGAGAGAGTGGGAAGAGGCTATACAGTGTGTAAAACTGAGGGCATTGCTCCTAGCAGCCCCTCTGTGACAGAGCAGAAGTGCTCCAAGGGTTTTCTTGGCTGTCATCTTTATGGAAATAGATCGCCAGGCCTTTCTTGGTGCTGCTGGGTGGGTTTGAACCACCAAACTTCAGATTGGTATTTGAGCACAGATTGTAAACATTAACAAGTGTGAGTGGAAGATGAGGTCCTGGATGGTATGGTTAAGCACTTTACTCGCCAAAAACCTGGCAGTTCCCACCCACCCAGAGGCACCTCAGAAGACAGGCCTGGTGATGTGCACTCAGGAGGCCACAGCCTTGGAGACCCTGTGCGGCAGCTCTACTTGCACACACACGGCACTGAGAGTCGAAACCCTAGTGCACTTAATCCACTTCCAGGTAGGAGACCAGCCTTAGGGCCAACCTGTGTCTCACCCTCCAGGGGTCTCTTGTACGTGGTGGACTTTGTGTAAGGGTTCCTTGGGGAAATGGTGTTTTACTGCCAAAGGGAAAAAACTCAACTATCTTGGGCCAGATGCCTGCTTTGGGGTGGAATTGGTAAGAGAAATAATAAAGGTGCCTTGGTTCTCCTTCAAGGCAAGGAAGGCTTAAGAAAACAGGAAGCCACTTTAACAAGGGGATTGGGCCTGAGGAAGCTGTGTGCCTGGTCTCTGGGGAAGCTGAACCAAGCTTCGAGTAAGACCCGTGTGGCCCATTCCTTGGTGGAGTGTTGGGACGTGATGAAGTTCCAGTCTGTGAACGTGATGGATTTCCCCAGAGCTGGCTTAGACTTAAGGGGAGCCCCCCCCCCCGGCCTTTTCCTTTACTCAGAGTCTCTGGTGGTGCACAGTGAATATGCTTGGCCGCTGCCTGGAAGGCTGGCCGCTGAAGTCTGCCCAGAGGCACCGTGGAAGAGAGGCCTGGCAGTCTGTGCTGAAGACAGCTACGGGGAAACCCACGGAGCACAGCTCTCCCACGTGGGTCTCTGCGTTGCAGCTCCACAGCACTCCGTGGTGGTGTGAGGGGCAGTGGGGGCTCCGTGGTAGCTTCTCCCTCTCCCGTAGCAGGTCCCAGGTTCGATTCCCAGCCGGTGCACCTCCTGTGCGGCCTCCGCCCCTCTGTCCAAGGAGGCCTAAGTATGGCTGGGAGGCTGAACAGGTTTCTCCGTAGCTTCCAGGCCTGGGGATGAGCTTCCCAAACACAGCAGTGGCCGCCCTGGGGAGCCCAGTGCTGCGCTAACAGCTGGGCTCAGCAGGGGGCAGCACCGGTGCCACAGCAACGGGCTTTCCCCTTGTCCTGGCGTCTCAGTTGGGCTGACTTAGGAATTTTTAAGTTTGTTTTTCGCCCTGTGCAGACTGTTGAAACGACCCAAAAAACACACCCTTTGTTGCCGTTCAATGAGTGAACAGATGCTCGGTGTCCACTGGGAGCAGGCATCGTCCTGAGCCTCCCTGGGGTAAGTGATGGCCTGGTTGTGTCCAGGTCACCTGCTGCACCTCCTGACAGTGGGGACAGGCTGTGGCGGGACTGCACATGCTGCAGTGCATGCGGTTGGAGGACTCTCTTCTGGTTTCCTGTAGCCGCCATGTGGCTCCTTGGGGCCGTTACGCTCACCCACTGTTTGTTGTTGTTATGTGCCGTCGAGTCAGCCCTGACTCATAGCGACCCCTCCTTGGGTTTCCAAGGCAGTATCACTACGGAAGTAGGATTGCCCAACCTTCCTTCCGAGGAGTGGCTGGTGGGTTTGAACCGCCAGCCTTCTGGTTAGCAGTCAAGTGCCTTAGCCACTATGCTACCCACTGTTTAGGAACATGGCATTACCCCTGAAAGGGGAGGCCTTGCCATCAGCTGCCTCCAGGAGGCTCACACTCAGGAGCGAACACTCATGGAGCCCCACCTGTGGGCCGGGCACTGTCAGCTTGAGCATGCTGCCTCGCTGGCCGTGCACCACAGCCCCATACGGTAGGCGTTCTTCCTATTTTGCCAATCGGGGAACTGGGGCTGTCAGCATGACAAGGGACAGCACGTCAGGAAAGAGCCAAGATTTGGAACACAGGTCTGTCTGGACTGCATCTGGGCCTATGCGTCATGCCAGGGCACTGGAAGAAATAGGACAGGTCCTTTTTCCATCTTTGTCCTAACCTACTACCATGGAGTCCAACTCTTAGTGACCTGGTAGGACAGAGCAGAACTGCCCCATAGAGTTTCCAAGGCTTCAATCTTTACAGAAGCAAAGCCCACACTGAACCCACTGCCATCAAGTAGATTCCAACTCACAGTGCCCCTAGAGGACAGAGTGGAACTACTCTACAGGGTTTCCTAGGCTGTCAGTCCTTACAGAAGGAAAGCCCAAACCAAACCCACTGCCATGGAGTCAATTTTGACTCTCAGCGCCCCTAAAGGACAGAGTGGGAACTGCCCCACAGGGCTTCCAAGGCTGTCAATCTTTACAGAAGCTGACTTCCTCACCTTTTCCCACGGAGCAGGTGGTGGGTTTGAGCCACTGACCTTTTAGTTACCAGCCAAATGCCTTAACCACTTCACCACCAGAGTTCCTTAACTTGTAATGAAGGCCACCCTAAGACAAAGCTCTGGCAAGTTTCAGGTGAGAGGTGACCCAGTAGCTCAAAACTGTCTATTTATAAACCGGATGACTAGTTCCCCTCAGACTGGGCCTCAGGAGGTGCCCGCTGGCAGCAAGCAGGATGAAGGCTGCAGGCCTTTGGTCCACATGCAGCAGAAGACTGTAGCTCCCCCCTCCCAGCAACACCCCAAGATGCACTCTGATTGGGCCAGCATGAGTTCCCTGTCCACTTCTGAGCCAATCGCAGTAGTCCAGGAATGGCATGTGTTTATTGACTTAACCCAGGTCACCTTGGCTGGTGAGCAAGGGCAAAGTCCCCCTCCCTAGAACAGGTGGGTCCAAAGCGGATTGGGGTTGCTATAAAACGAGGCAATAAGGGGCCTCTGGGTGGCGCAGAAGGTTAAGTATCAACTCCGAGTAGAAAGGTTGATGGTCCAGAGGACCATGGAGGAAAGGCCTGGTGAGCTGCTCCGAAAGGTCACAGCCTTGAAAACCGGAAGCACAGGTGTGCCGGCCCACGTGGAGTGGCCATGAGTCAGAGTGGGCAGCAGCTAACACCCACAGACGCCCGCACACTCCGGATTTGAAGCGCGTTCTCATTAAACACAACATCCATTAAGCCGCCCACCTCTGC